ATAGGATAGGATAGGGAGTGGAGTGGAGTGGAGTGGAGTGGAGTGGAGTGGAGTGGAATGGAATGGAATGGAATGGAATGGAATAGAATAGAATAGAATAGAATAGAATAGAATAGAATAGAATAGAATAGAATAGAATAGAATGCAGAAGGAATAGATTAGGAGTTTGAAGTATTCTATTGTCCTCAATTTTTCCCACATCCCATAACCTCCAAATCAAGCTCCCACATCAAAAGTCATAGGCAAATGTCCAGAGGTCTCTCTAAATAATGAGTTCCTGGTTAAGAATAACTGTTTCAATAATCATTTCTTCTGATGGAATTTGATGTTTTTTCCAGTGTTGAGCGAAGGCTAATCTGGCCGCTGTTAAAATGTGTATTGTTATGTATTTGGGTTTTTTGGAAATTTGCTTATCAAAAATCCCTAGTAGGAAGGACTCTGGTTTGTATTCGATCTGCTCTTTGGTGATTTCTTCCAACCAAGTTTTGATTTTCTTCCAATACTTTTGGGTTTCTGCACAAGACCACCACATATGGAAAAAGGTTCCTTCTTTTTTCCTACACTTCCAGCAATGCGGACTCATGTTGGGGTGCATCTTCGCTAACCTCGAAGAGGGGAGATGCCATCTATAAAACATTTTATAAAGATTTTCCTTGTATGCTGCCGATTTGGTAATCTTATTGTTTCTGCCCCAAACTTTCTCCCATTCCGCTAATGTGATGCTGCGCCCTACGTTCTTACTCCAAGCAATCATATTTCCTTTTACAATTTCTTCTTCTAGTTCTGTTTCTAATAAGTAGTTATAAAATTTTGTTATGTTTTTTTATTTGATCCTAATAAAATTTTATCTAACTGTTGCAGTTTGTTATTAATTCCGAATTCTTTTTTGTCTTGTTTATATCTGCTTTGAATCTGAAGGTAAACCCATTGATCAATTTTATGTCCTTGCTCCTGAAGATCCAGCCTCGGTTTCAAATTTCCTTGTGGGTCTAATAAGTCTTTGTATTTAATCATTTTGGTAAGCTCCAAATTGTTTGGGTGAATCATTGCCTCCATTGTTGAAATCCATACTGGTACTTTTGTATAATGTTTTTTCCTTATTTTCCTCCAAATTGTTAATAGTGCGTCTCTAATTAAATGTCTATGGAAATATTTTTGACTGGTTTTCCCTACGTCCCATAGAAAAGCGTGCCACCCCCTTTGTAAATCATGGCCTTCTAGAAATAGTATTCTTTTATTGGTTAAATTCACCCAATCCCTCAACCAAACTAATGAGGTGGCCATATGGTATAACTCCCAGTTTGGAAATGCTAACCCTCCCCTGCTCTTCATATCCTGCATTGCTTTTACATTTATTCTGGGTTTTTTCCCTTGCCAAATAAATTTCAGGGTTGTTCTATTGAGTTCTTCAAAAAACTTTTTATGTAATTTAATTGGGATCGTTTGGAATAGGTACAAGAATTTAGGGAGAATGTTCATTTTAATAGTAGTAATTCGGCCTAGTAGTGAAATTTGAAGTTTCCCCCACGATTCTAAATCTTTCTTTACCTGGTGTATCAGTTTATCATAATTGTTTTCTTTAAGTGTCTTACAGTGTGGGGTTAGCCAAATTCCTAAGTATTTCACTTTCTTTGTCACTTGTATATGCATTATTTCTTCTAGTTCTATTTTCTGTTTTTCTGTTAGGTTTTTGGTCATTAATTTGGTGTTTTGTTTTTTTTGTTTATTTTAAGTCCCGCTACTGCTCCAAATTTCTCTAATTCACTCATCAATTTTGGTCCCCTGTCTTTTGGTTCTTCAAGGAAGAAAATCATGTCGTCCGCAAACGCTTGCAATTTATATTCCTCTTTCTTAACTGTTAATCCCTTTATATCTGAATTCCGCCTAATTCGTGTTAATAATGTCTCTAATGCTAATATGAAGAGCAGGGGAGAGAGTGGGCACCCCTGTCTCACTCCTTTTTCTATCTTTATTGAGCGGGTGCATTCCCCATTCACTATTATATTAGCTTGTTGTGTATCATATATAGTTGTTATAATATTTTCAAATTTGGTACCCAGATTCAAATTATAAATTTTTTGAATTAAAAATTGCCAATTCAAATTATCGAAAGCTTTTTCTGCATCTAGGAACATGAGTGCTACTTGTCTCTCTGGGTGGGCTTCATAAAATTCTAGTACGTCTAATACTATTCTTAGATTATTCTTTATTTGCCTAGTTGGAAGGAATCCGTTTTGATCTTCATGTATATACAAGTTTAGCAATCTTTTTAATCTGTTTGCTATAATAGAAGTGAATATTTTATAATCAGTATTTAGGAGTGAAATTGGCCTGTAATTGTTTATATATCTGGGATCTGTATCCTCCTTCGGGATCAGCGAAATCAGTGCCCCCCTCCATGAGTCCGGCATCCTGGCTGCTAGTAAAACGTCATTAAAAACTTCCACCATAAGTGGTCCGATTTGATCTGCTATTGCTTTGTACAGCTCCCCTGGGATCCCGTCTGGGCCCGGGGTTTTATTATTTTTCTGGCTCTCTATTGCTGATTTCAATTCCGATTCAGTAATGTCTTTATTTAATAGTTCAGCCATTTCTTCCCCAATTGCCTTATCCTTTACTTCATCTAGATAATTCCTTATTCTATCTTCACTGACATCCTCTCTTTTGTATAAATCTTCAAAGTATTTATGAATGATTTCTTTTTTCTGTTCTATTTCCTGGTATGTATCTCCTTTGCTATCTATTAACTGGTATATCAATCTCTTCTCTTTCTTTTTTTTCAATGTATAAGATAGCCATCTTCCTGGCTTGTTGGCATGTTCAAAATAGATTTGTCTGGTTAAGTTCAAATTCATAGTCATTTTCTCTTGATCAATTAAATTCAGTTTGTGTTTGGCTATACTTATCTGATTTTGCAGTTTGGATTCTTTTGGGTTATTTTGTAGAAGGGTTTCTAGCTCCTTAATTCTTTGTTGTAATTTGTTTTGTTGGGAATATTTTTCCTTGTTTCTCTTGGCATTATAAGAGATTGTTGTGCCTCTTATAACCGCCTTCATCGTATCCCAGACATTTTGTTTCGTGGTTTCTCCATTATCATTTTTTTTAATAAAAAAATTCAATTCCTCCTTTAATTTATTAATGTATTCTTTCTCTCTTATTAATTGAGTGTTTAAGGTCCATCTTTTCTTTGGTTTTACCCTGCCCTTCCATATTACCTGTATTGGATTATGGTCTGCCCATTCATTAGGCAAAATTTCCACTTCTTTTGTCTCGTTTGCTATTTCCCCACTCATCCATGCCATATCAATCCGTGTCCATGTTTGGTGGGGATTTGAATAAAATGTAAATTGTCTTTTTTCAGGATGTAATCTTCTCCATATATCTGTCAGGTTTAGCTCTTTCATCATTTCCCTACAAATCTTGGGGAGCTCTCTCTTCCCCTTTTTATCTCAAAATGCGCAGAAATGGATAAATTGACTTTGGCGCTAAAAAACAAAGACACTTCACTATATTACGATATCTGGAATTGTTGGTATAATTGGATTGACCAAAGATAAATTATATATCATAAGGCATAAAAGAAAAGTATCAATACATAATAATGAGGTAGCGATATAAGTTAAAAACAGGTGTGGTTATATGACACAAGTTAAGGTGATGAAAACAAAAGAAGATCTTGCAAACTGTTAAAATAAGAATACTTTTTGTCCTGTAACCTCTTTCTTTCTTTCTTTTCTCAAAATTCTTTCCCTCTCTTCCTCTTCTCTCTTCTTTCTTTCTTTTTTTTTCTTTCTTTTGCTTATTTGTGTATGTATTGTGGCTGGTTTTAATTGTAAAAATTAATAAACTATATTTAAAAAAAAAACAATAACTGTTTCAACAACCATCTAGAAAAGAACTGAAGCAGAATTAAACCCATTTCTCTTTAAATAGAATTAAAAACATTGAGGAAATATTAGAACAGTTTTCCAGTTAAGAAGGATTTATTTCTCGGTCTTGTTCCTGCCACATTACAGACAAAAAGATGGGACAGTGAAGAAGAAGATGAAGATGAAGATGAAGATGAAGATGAAGATGAAGATGAAGATGAAGATGAAGATGAAGAAGAAGAAGAAGAAGAAGAAGAAGAAGAAGAAGAAGAAGAAGACTCAACTCCAGAAATCCAATTCTGATCCACAGCAATATACTGATCAGATCTATTCTCAACTCAAAGTATTTTAATAATTAAAATAAAGGAGTTTTGGGGGACCAGGTAGTTTGTTTAGTCCTGTTTAACCTTCTTTTTAATCTTTCTATAGTCAAAGTGAATCATAATGGCTTACAAAACCAATAAGACAAAAATAACTATTGAGAAATACAAATGAAGATGCACAATTCATCCACCTCATTCTCTTCATAATTACACAGAAGTACCAGATCTGTACATCTTCAACATAATTATTACCCAGGAGGAATTCCAGACTTTGAATAACAGCTCAAACAGTTCCAATTCATTCTTACAACTGGCTGAACAGGATAGCAGAGAAAAATATTATTGTGGATATGAAATTCATCTTACAAAGTACAAGCTTCCATCAAGAACCAGGTAACATACTCAAATATTCAATGGAGTATATACTTCAAATTAATTCTACCAAAGTTATTGGACCTATTTTTAGTTAGGCAGTTCAATAGTTATCTGATTATTATTATTATCATTTTTAAACAATATACTGCACTCTGAATCACAGTTACTGAGGACATGCTGTCAATATTCAACTGTGTTAGATGTTTCTTGCTGGACATTTCATGAAAAATTTAACTGTAGGGATGGCTAATATTTGAGTTAATCTTTATGCTTTGAAACAAATAGAATGATGGAGTGTCCAAATCAAACATCACCAAATAAATTTATCCTCTCTGGATTTCCATATCTAGAAGAACTAAAGCTACCCTTGCTTCTCTTCTTCTCAATTGTGTTTGTCTTGACTGTTTCTGGAAATGCTCTGATCATTGGCGTGATGATCTCCAACCTTCAACTGCACAAGGCCATGTATTGGTTCCTGTGTCATCTCTCCATCCTGGACATGGCCTTCTCAGCTGTGGTGGTTCCCAAAGTTATTGCAGGATTCACTCCAGATGGAAAAGTCATCTCTTTTGGTGGATGTGTGTCTCAGCTCTTCTGCTTTCACTTCATTGGATGTGCAGAATGTTTTCTTTACACCGTGATGGCTTATGACCACTTCTTGGCCATTTGTAAACCACTCCATTATACTAACATCATGAACTGGAAAGCCTGCCTCTTCCTCTCCTTGGGTACCTTAATTGGAGGCTGCCTCAATTCTGCACTTCTGACATCTCTCACCTTTCATTTGCCTTATGGAGAAGACAATTATGTTGACTATGTCTTTTGTGACATTCCTGCAATGCTGAAGCTGCCTTGTGTTGACATACAATTTAATGAATTGATGAGCAGCATTGACGTGAGCTTTATAACAGTGACCTGCTTTCTCCTCATCTTAGCCTCTTATGCTTACATCATTGCAGCCATTTTGAAGATCAGTAGCATTGAAGGACAGCAGAAAGCCTTCTCCACATGCAGTGCCCATCTTACTGTGGTGTTCATATATTACCTGCCTTTGTTTTATCATTATATGAGGCTAGGTTCTCAAGACTCTATGGATAGTGTGGTAAGTGTGTTCTACACCACCATCACCCCTTTGTTGAACCTTGTGATACACACTTAGGAATAAAGACATTAAAATGGCTTTAGTGAAACTCTGGTGGTGAATCCAGAGTAGATAGCTGGAGGTATTCTGAAGACAATAATTTTACAAATATGGCGAATAACCAAATGTAAAGAATCATTTCTGGTGAACTTCTGAGCTATTTTTATGGCTCGGTTGATTAGAAAAATGGTGATCAGCAGCTACTTTCACACAAACTCTATTGTGTATAATAATTTCATTCTTAACTCAGGTTTGGGGGGGTGAAACCTAGAGGTGTAAAAAATGGAATCACAAATATGATCAATAATCCTCCTAGTTAAGTATAGTTTCAAGAGAAAGTCTGAACTCAAAGTATCTGAGGTGCAAAACAATGCTGAAGGAAACCTTAAGTTTGCAGTTCACCTATTCCCATTTGGTATTGCCTAGCTCCTCTCCTAGAGAGAGGTCCTCATCCAACCAGATCTTGATTACAGAAGTTTGATGTCCTTCTTAAGCTCTGCTCTGTTGGTCATGGGAGCAGTAGTTCATCCATTCCACCATGTCTATTTCGAAGCTGTCATATATGATGGCTGGTGTTCCATTGCCTCCTACAAGACCAGTTTCTGAAGACATCTCAGCATTTCAAGGAGAAACTTCAAAGAGGGAAAAAGAATAATTATTTAACAACTGATTTTGGTAGAAGAGCCATTAAAGAGATGATACATGATTGTATTTTTGTATTTGAAATGCATTTCATAACTTTGCAATATCTTTATTTATGCTTCTCCCATACTTTAGAAATATATATACTATTGTAATTTAAATAAACATTATTCTTTTGGGACCTTATTCACTAAACTTGAGAAATAGAACATTCCATAGTTGGATTTGCAGATGTTATGGATAATTTCTTTCTGCAAATATAGCAGAAGCATTAATCCTGAGACCTTTTTTTGCTGACTATAATATTCTTGTAATGAACTCATACTTTCTAGAGGAGCAAAGACATGGAAAAATATTGCTGCTTACTCTTGTGTTCTTTTCAAGAACTGTGGAGATCTATGTCCAGCTGTTTCCTGTGGTGAGTTAATGAATTTCAGGAGAACACTTGCCCTAATTATTTTCCAGATGAATTTTACTTGAACAACAAGATCTTCCCACGTTTATCATTTTCCCTCTACCCATATTTTCCTCTTAATCAACTTAACTTTGCTTCTCCTCTCTAATTCAGTTCTTACTACTCAACTGCATCATGCTTTGAGATAGTGGCTGTTAGATCTGGAGGAGTGGGCGCAATAACGGAGACGAGGCATCTATAGTGACTCAACTCAACTCTTTAATAGTGACTTCAGAACAGAGCAACAACTAGGGCAGCAGCAGCTCTTTTATAGAGCTGGCTGCTGTCACAACAACCAATGAAATTGAAGTAACCACTCTAAAAGCGTCCAATCAGTGATGGCCCGTTGTCAGCCAATCAGGTCAGCCAGAATCGGCCAATCACGATTCGCTTATCCATGGACCAATCAGAAGTGCAGGATTACAGGCCTGCTGCTGAAGTAAGCTAGTATAGTTATTGACGAATGAGTTTATTTAGTTCGTAACACCCCTCCCCCCTAGGTTCCGTCTGAGGGGTGGGGTGACGTATTCTTGTAAGTAGGCAGGCCGTTTCACTTGTCTATTCGATTTTCGCTGTTCCACCGGTCTCTGCTGGCTCCGGTGGGCTGTTTGTAGAACCGGGTGGCGAAAACGGTTCCACTATTCCGCTCGGGGACTCAGGGCTGTCCTCTCTGTTGTCATCCGGGTTCCTTGGACTTGCTTCTATGGCCGGGCTGCTTTGTGGCGAAACAATCACCCGGCTCGGTCCACCTCCGGAAGGTGAATATCCCATGGTTGGTTGTGCAGACTGGTGGGCGTCAGTTAGTGGGTCGTCTGCTATTTCTATTTCGGCCCCCTCGATTTCCCTCCCCCCCCCAGTTTGAGATTCAGGGGTTGAGATAGGGTTAGGTGCCAATCGGGAACGAAGTTGGTCTATATGGCCCTTCCATAATTTCCCATCGCTAGTTTGTAGACGGTAAGATCTGGGGCCCGTAATTTGAGTTATAGTAGCGGGGACCCATAATGGATCACCCGAGAAGTTTTTCGCAAAGACTAAGTCGCCTACCTTGAACGCACGACACTTGCTGCTGGAACCACAAGGTTTTTCTGGTGTGTAGGTTGGGTGTAGGCGATCAAGGTGTGAGCGAAGTTTCCGGCCCATCAGAAGTTCGGCCGGGGTTCTGTTTGTGATGCTGTGCAGGGTGATGTGTTGGAGGAGAAGCATTCTGGTTACTTTGTCGTCAATGTCTCCATGTTCCATCTTGTGCAAGGTCTTTTTTATGAATTGGACCATGCGCTCAGCCCTGCCATTGGCCGCAGGGTGAGCCGGCGAAGTTAAGGCATGGCGGATGCCCCGGTCGGCTAGGTACTGTTCAAATGCTAGGGCAGTGAATTGGGGACCGTTATCCGAGACTAAAACGTCAGGCAATCCATGCGTAGCGAATAGTCTATTTAATTTTTTAACGACGGCTTCTGTGGTGGTGCTCTTCATTTTGTGGACTTCGAGCCAGTTGGAATAGGCATCCACAGTTATAAGAAAAGTGTGTCCCTTGGTGGGTCCCGCAAAGTCAATGTGGATGCGGGACCAAGGACCACGAGGTGTGTCCCATTCAGTTGGAGGTGCCTTCGGTGGGGCAGCGCGGATTTCCTGGCATTTGTGCATGTGGCCACCCAGGCTTCTATCTGTTTATCGATACCTGGCCACCACGCGTAACTTCTTGCCAATGCCTTCATTTGCACGATGCCTGGATGACCATCGTGCAACAGTTTTAGAACTGTATGTTGTAATTTTTCTGGAATGACGACTCTGTCTCCCCACAAGATGCAGCCCTTCTGGGAAAACAGTTCTGTCTGTCGGTGTTTGAAAGGCGCGAAGGTGTCGTTGGGTTCGTTGTCAGGCCAGCCTCGTTCCACCCAGCTGAGGACTCGAGCGAATACAGGATCCTTTTTTGTTTCCGCGGCGATGTCTCGTGCAGTCAGGGGTGGTGCAGGGAGAGTTTCGATTTGGAGTGCAGTTAAAGTTGGAGCTGGATCGTTTATGGCTTCCGGTAGCAGAGAACGACTCAAGGCGTCAGCGTGGGGAATGGCTTTCCCCGGGCGGTGTTGCAGTTGATAATCATATGCAGCTAGAAACTCTGACCAACGGGTCATTCTGGGTGATAAGATGTGGGGAGTTGGTTTGTCTCCCGCTAAAATTCCAAGCAATGGCTTGTGATCGGTTATTATGGTAAACGGTCTGCCATATACATATTCATGGAAGCGTTTAATAGCGGATACAATAGCAAGAGCCTCTTTATCGAGTTGGCTGTAGTTTCTTTCAGTCTTCGATAAAGTTCGTGAAAAGAACGCAATAGGTGCTTCATTTCCGTTTGGTAGGACATGACTTAAGATGGCTCCTACCCCAAACGGTGAAGCGTCACAGGTGACAGTTAAAGGCAAAGTCTCGTTATACTGCATTAATACAGCATCTGAGGTTAAGAGATCTTTTACTTGCTGGAATGCTCATTCTTCCCGATTTCCCCAGACCCCGGAAGCCTTCTTGTCGAGTAGTCTATGTAGGGGCTCAGCTACAGTTGCCTTTTGGGGCAAGAAGATGTTATAAGAGTTAATGAGTCCTAGGAAGGCTTGGAGGTCTGTTTTATTCCTGGGTCTTGGGGCGTTTTTTATTGCAGTTACTTTTTTTTCAGTGGGATGGATTCCCTTTTTGTCAAGAAGGTACCCCAGGAATTCAACCCTCTCAGTACAAAGTTGACACTTGTCTTTTTTTACTTTCAAACCGGCGTTTTTGAATTTCTGAAGAACCGTTCTGAGTCATTTCTCTAATACGTCTTTAGTGGGGGCAGCTATCAATACGTCATCGAAATAAGGCACGACTCCTTTTATGCCTTGTAGCAGTCTCTCCATCAGGCTTTAGAAAATGCCTGGTGCTACACTCACTCCGAACTGGAGTCTATTACATTTAAACGCACCTCTGTGCATGACTATAGTCTGGGCCTCAGCAGTTTCTGCATCTACGGGTAGTTTCTGGTATGCCTGGGCGAGGTCCAATTTTGCAAATATTTTTCCGCCACCCAGGGAGTGAAGAAGACGTTGGACCACAGGTACCGGGTAAGCGCTCTGCTGAAGCGCGTGATTTAGGGTGGCCCAGTAATCCCCACAAATTCTTATCGATCCATCAGGCTTTATGGGAGTTACAATCAGGGTTTCCCAACGGGCGTGATCGATCAGTTCTAACACCTCCTGAGCTATTAATTTGTCCAATTGTTCATCAATCTTTGGCTTGAGTGCGAAAGGCACTCAACGAGGCTTAAGGCGGATGGGCGCAACATCGGGGTTGAGGCTAAACGATATGGGGGATCCCTTGTACTTGCCTAGCTTCTCAGTGAACACGTCCTGGAATTCCTGGACGAGGGCTGCTTCCCAATCGCTGTTCCCAGTCTGGTGAATGCCAGCTAGTTCAATTCCCAGTGGAGCGAACCACTGTAACCCCAACAAGCTGGGTCGGTCTCGATCGACGATGGTAATAGGCAGAGTTGCGGTGTGGTCCCTGAAGGACACCTGGACGTGGCGGGAACCGGCAACGGGAATCCTGTTTCCCTAGTAGTCCCTTAATATGATTTTTTGGGTGCTGAGGTCCTGGCGACGGATGTCAGGGATCAGCTGTTTGAAGGTTTTCCACGAGACCATTGATAGGGATGATCCCGAGTCTACTTCCATTACGCATGGACGATTCTCAATGGCGACCTTCACTCGGATCTTTCTTGCATCCAAGGATGATGCGTGACCAATGGTAATGGTTTGATGCGCCTCTTCTCGCCTAGCTGACGCAGCAGGCACTCGATTTCTGTAGTGATAGTGGTTCCATTGGTGATTCAGACGGTCCCGATTTACAGGTGGGCTGCCCGTTGTTCTTCGGATTGGGCTTGACGCTCGCTTGCTTCTGC